CTGCATTTCCTTACACAATTATCACTGTTCTACCACGCATAACTAATCACTCTTCCATATGATAATGGTCTAATATTTTATGATAAATGGAAAAGTATTTGCTTTTATGGTGTGTAAGAATTTTGAAATGCTAACAATGCATTTAAAGCATTTTATCTTTTATGTGTGTTAAAGCATGGAAGCTGGATGCTGGAAACAATATCAGTGCAGTAGCAGAGTCCGGAATCGCACCTCATTAGGAGAGGTGTGAATCTCATGCATTTTAACACTAATAATTAACACTAATAATCGTCAATTTGTGCTAATTATTATTTAATAATTTAACAAAAGGCCAGGTCATGTCCATTATGTCTTTTCCTCATTGTGTATTGGAAATATGAAACATCAGTTGAGATTTGAGCGTGTGAAAAAATGAAAAAAGTCTATTTCCCATAGCTTGAAGGTAGAATTCAGAACAAAAAAACAACAGAAAATAGAATAGTGGAGGGCACAGTAGTAACACACACACACAGATTCTCAGTCAAACTGCAAAACCTCTCATTAGTAAAGCTGTGAATGTTATGCATGGTGATATTAATAATCATCAGTTTATGCTAATCATTTCATAGTTTAACAAAAGTGCAGGGCATGTCAGTTAAATGCTTTCCTTGTTGTGTACTGGATTTTCAGTTTGAACATAGTCTTTCACAAAGTTTGAAGACAGACCAAAGAATGCATAAAGAACAACACTATTGTTCAATCAAACTACAGAGTAATATGACAGCAGCAGATCTAATCAGACTCGTGCACATTTATATTCTCATTTCACACATATAATGCTCTTGTTGTGCAATGATTTACTTTTATTTCTATCCCCAAGTCTTTTTATGTCAGAACCTGGCAAGGCACTCTTATGAAAGCTTTGCACCAAGCAATCCTATGTTTTTGGAAAATAGAATTTTTTTTGGCAGTCATAATGTTTGGTGTGTTTGGCGGTGCTTGGCATGTTTGGCTTCCTTCTCCACATCTTCTTTCTCAGGCTTTTTCTGCTCATGATGTTTAAGTCACTTGCTGGCGGCATGACTCAGACAGCGATGTCAGTTGGTCAGTCCACAATAGAGTCATACCTTCACCACAGTGTTCTAGACTTTAGTCGGCTTGTCTTAATCTTCTACATGTAAGCTTTAGTTAAGATGAGTACATCTATTACTCACCATTGGGAAAAAAATGTACCTATTGTTTACTGGATACCATAGAAATGAAGAAAGGTCAGATATGAACACCATCCAGAAAACTGACTTTTGCTCCTTTGCTTTCCACATCTTTGCTTCTCTGTCAAACCACTACCTGTTTCCATGTATGTAATTCCTTCACTGACTGAACACCTCATTTATTGTCCGTGTCTTATTATTATGAGGACATTATGTTCATGTCACTGTATTTCAGGAGAGCAGGCTCCAAAATAACCTGACACTAGATGTAGAAGTGTAAAGGTAGAAAAAGATGGGCAATCAATGAGGAGAAGGATATAAAGGATTTCACACAGGATGAGAATCATTTCTTTTTTCTAGTAAATTCTCTTGCTCTCTCCTGACCACATTTCTCCACTAGAAAGTTAAACCATAATTCTTTTAGATATATTTCCTCTCCACTGCCTCAACCTTACAGCCCCTCATTTTACCTTCATTTGTCTCCTTGCAGCCAAGTTTCCCATCTCAAACTTCACAGCCTCTCTCATAAAACCATAGATGAAAATTATGTCATGTCTAGGTAGTGTAATCCAAAATGACGAATGAGCATCTGCTTTCCCTGGCAACTGCAGTGCATCAGGGTCATTCACTGTTGTCCAAACCCCATTAGCCAATGGAGCCATGTCAAGCAGGGGTAAAGTCGATAAGCAGGGACTGGAACAAAAGCACACCAGCTGACTGCACTATATTCTGCAACACTATCAGCTCTACAGCCCTCAGTGACCTACCAACATATAGAACAGTTTAAGTGCACTCAAGCTAGAGTGAGAATGCAGAGACAAGGCTGGCAGAGTGATAATATAAAAAGGCAAACTATAAGCTGAGATAGCATTTCCTTTGAGAATACTGGAAGTGGGATGAGTTGTAATTATGAAAACTGTTAATTAGATTTTAGATTTGGATTTCGATTTTATATACATATATATATATATGATGCCACTGATACCACATTGCTGATCACTCTGAAAAGGCCTTTTATTAGATCTTATTGACTCAACTAATCCACAGGTGCCACCAAAGTCCAATAGTCATGCTGATACCATCCATGTAAAAGGTTAAACCAATGAGGAACATATGTGCAGCATATTCACACCAGATGTTCCACTAAGAGGCTACAACCTCTCAACACCCCAGCAGTGTGTCTCTGGGAACTGCATCAGGGAGGGAGCACATGGGTGGACTGAATCCTTTGGAACAGTAGGATGGTGGTCTCAATGGTCTTGCTGATAGAACAAAAAAAAAATCCTAAAAAGCACCTATTTAAAAGCTATCTTGGTTTTGTTTTTACTACAGTGCTGCTCAGGCTATTTTAAGCTGAGAGCTATCATGTTAGTTACCTGTGAAGAAAGCCTCAAAGTGCCATCTTTGTTGTATTTCTTGCTACTAACAATTGAGCTATTTTTCTCACTTACTGAGCACAGAGTAAAGCTATGTTTTAACACTATCTATTATGAAGCTATAGGATGAAAACACTCTTCACACTATGATGTTGGACTGTGTCTTAAAGGACTATACCTTGTATTAACTACAAATCCTGTAAACCTTTTTATCCTAGCTTCATGACTTCCACACTGTTTTCCCCTTTTGCTGCAATGTGAAAATTAGGGTGCAGAGATTCAAAACTTGAGATAAAATCCATGAAAGTGTTGTCACTTCATGATAATGCCATTGTCAGCAAAGTGCAGATTTTCTAATTGTAGTCTTCTATGCTCTGACACAAGACTTCAGAGTCATAGGGACCTTTTGTTCATGTTTGTTTTACTTGCTCTCTTTCTCGCAACATCCTTGTTTGCTTATTGCTCGGCAATGACTGAAGCAATAAGTGAGTATAGCAAACCTGCACCCAGTGTTAGAATATGCTTAAATGTGCTGTTTCGTTTCCAAGGAGTTCTTGATTTCAATTGCATTTCCACATTAACAAAGGTAACTTTTACAAAACCATATTTAGCCCTATTGTGATAGATTCTCTGTCTCAAGCAAGTTAACTGCCTGGAAGGAAGGAAATCAATCTAAATCAGGACTGAGTCTAACAGCTCTGTGAGGCTGTACTTAGGCACAGCAGTACTTTGAGTTCACTGCTAACAACATGGTAACATGCTCACAGTGACTATTCAAACATGCTGATCTTGTAATGTTTAGGATAAAGATAATCACCTTTATTGGCCAAGTATGTTACACACAAGGAATTTGTTTCCCGGTACAGAACTGATGGCAGCCATGCGCGGCTGCCAACTCAACCGACAGCTCTAACCATCGCAATGGGGCGTGTGTAGTGTCTTGTCCAAAGACACTTGGACTGCTGGCACTGAGATTCAAACCTTCAACCTTCTGGTTGGGAGATGACCGCTCTACCCACTGCACCAAGGAATGAGAATGCTCTACCCACTGAACCACAGTTTACTGTGTTCACCTTCTTCATTTAGCATGCTATATTAGCATGCTAATTAGCACTGTACACAAAACACAGCTGATGAAAATGTCATTTATCTTGCAGGCATTCAGTCATAAATCGAAATACTGGGCAAACTGAAATTCTGACCTGACCATCAGAATCATTAGGTTAACCTAGGGCACCTGAATGTGTGCATAAAATTTCATGCAAATCAGTTTAATAGTTCAACCAGAAGCACTTTCCAGCCTCATAGTCGTGCTAGAGGAAGAGTCAGGGGATCATCAGTAGGATTCATCATGGACCCATGCTACTAACCTGGCAATATACTGGCGTGGCATATATGTTGACGTCATACAAAATGATAAGGTACAGTATTCAATGTTTTTAAAGTGAATACAGTTTGTACGTAATAGGCTGAACTTGGTCCTGTCTGCTGGGCGTTACCTGGGCTTCAACACTGCCAAGACAAACTGTTAGAGAAAAACATGACTGATTAAATGAACTTATCACACATGTTTTTAGTCTGAAACCCATCAGCTCCAGCCTCCCTTTCTCCCTTTGCCACACTTCAAAGACACCTTTGGGGAGAAGCTTCAAAACGTGCATCATTACAGGCTTTTCCATGACTGCCACAGAGTCCCAAACCAGCCAAGAAACAGTTTCTCTCCAGCTATTTATTTTAGAGTTGTTCTGTTCCTGGCTAAGAAATTTCTCATGCCATTTGTTCTCCCTTTACCTGGCTTCACTTTTATCTTTCAGCTCACTATTGCACTTCCTGTCTGCTTTTCCTTAGTTTTTGTTGCCCCTCTTCACTTTCCTTTCCCACTCTTGCTTCAGCTTGTCTTTACCTTTGCAGGGGGCTCAAACAGGTGAGCTTAAATCAAATCAGGGATGGGGGCTTTGCCAAGTGCCATCCATGGCAGTATGGGATTTTTTATGTTTTTTTTCATATTGTGGTTTTTGTTTCATTAATCCTTTCCTTCTTAACCCCTCTTTCTGATATTAACTTTCTGAATTTCCTATAACCTACTCATTTTTTTCCATCCCATCTTTACACTGGTCCTTTACCTTGCCCTTACACCATCACACCAGCCTCTCTTTCTCCACCACTTCTCTCTTCCAACTTTTTTCTTTATCAAGCTCTGTCGACTTTTGCTGTCTTACAAGTCTTTGCTCCTGTGATCTCTCTTAACTAAATCCCAGTTTCTGTTCTCCTCCTTCTCACTTCTTGCCTGCTTCCTTTTGGCTCCAAGAGTGGCAGCAGCACATTGTCCCCTCTAGTTCTTTTTCTTTTCTCTTTTTAAATTAAAAGTGTTTTCTAATGTTGTTCTCATTGTGATGGTTGTTTCTTCTCCCCTACCATTTTATTTCCTTTCTAGGAATGGGTGACAGCCACAGACCTGCTCATCTCCTTGGATAGGCTTAACACCTTTGGAGACGAGTTCTTCAAGGACACTCAAGTGTTGCGCTCGTACTTCTATGCCATATCTGATTTCTCTGTGGGTGGCAGGTAAGAGACACCTGAAAATGTGCTCTCCAGGACAATGTCACCCCACATAGTGAACACCCTTTCTGAAATGCAAAATATGAGTCACTTTAGCGTTTAACCTTGAGCTTGTCTCGTGAAACTGTGGCTGAACCAAAAGCCAAATGAAAGCTCAAAAATCTTTGAGGTATCCATTTGTACTTTTTGTGTAATGGAGTTTTGTGTCTAAAATTCTGAATTTCTGAATTTTATAGTGTCCTATTTCAAACATTATGAAACCCCATCTCTTGCAAAATGCATTTGTATAATACTAACTGACTTTGCCAAATATGTTTTGGAGGGCACACTTTCACTGCCTGGGGAGGTGGGGGGTGGGTGACAGTTGGGCATTAACAGCACAGATTTTGACCACAAAGCCCAGAATTCATGTGCAGAATCACACATGTGAGATTTAGCTTGTAAAGCACTTTTGTAAAGTTTGGAAAAGATCACGATTTTGATTAAATACTGAAAAATCCATTATGTCCCACTTGGTATTTTAAGTAAACATGACTTTTTCAGTCTTCAACAAATACCACAATCTTTTACAGATACATTCAATAGGGACATTTTGCGTTTTCAATGAAAAGTTTGCTGATACTGTATGTTCAAAATAAAGTGTCCTTGTGAGGTTGATTTAAAAAAAAAAAACCTTCTCTTCCAAACATGTTTAAATATGAACATAAGGTAAAGCAAAGCGGGCAATCAGCATCCTATAGTGGAAAGCTGTTTGCAAAACTGATTTAAAAACACCTTTCTGTCTGTCAAGGTGAGAATAAACCAATAATCCTCCATCCTTCTTCCACTTTTGGTTTATTACTCACAGTAATGAGAGAAGACGTGGCACCAAAGACCAGGTTGCACTTTGGCAGTGCAGATAGAAAGGGACGATTAAGCGGTTAAGATGAAGCCTTCAGAAAGAATATAAACTTGATCTGACACCTGTCATAAACAATTACGATCACTGCAGCAGCATGACGAATTATCCACCAGTGTCATAACACCTGGGAGGAAGACCCACCAGACAACATGTCAGCCTTGTGCCAGTGCTTTTTGTATGAGTGCAAGCCTTTACACCTCAGTGCTGCACCTCGCCAAGCTGGCCAGATGTAGTCACAGATGCTGTGAAAAGCTCCTCATGATTGTTTTCTACACAATATTAATGCAGTAATCCACATATATGAAAAATGCTGTTTATGCACCTTTGCATTCTTGTGCAGCATGAGGACTGAACATATTGCACATCTCTTTTTAAACTGCACATATGCTGCCTGTACATTTCAGCTCAACTCACTCGGTGTGTTCAGTTTGAATTATTATCTAGCGGCTCCGGTCTACTCCAGCAGAGAGATCTGATATGTGGATTTGGAGCTAGTGGGTTGTTGTCGTCTCATTGACAACAGAAATAACTGGGTCTGAGCCTCAGGCAAGCACACGTCTGGATTCAGGACAGCTGGCTAAATTTGACAGAGCCTGCCACTCACTGACAAGTCCCTGTCCCCTATCACAGCCCCTTGACAAAACCAGCAACACTGCAAGGAAGCAGTACACATACAGGAAGGTGTACTGCTACCGTGCTTCAGTGGAAATGATATGCTTTCTAAAGGCAGAGGAAATGAGCTGATATTTATGATCTCTTATGAAAATTTACTTAATAAACCACATTTATTTGATGAATATTGACTGATCTACGTCTGCTTTTGAAAGCTCTAAAACAAATGTGGAGATGGTGTGCATACACAAAAATTAATTATGGGCATACATAGATTTCATATGCAGACTACTGCTCAGAGATACTGTACATGTGTGTTGCTGTTTATTCTAGTCTAAGACAGCATGAGTGTTTTAGTACTGCGGCAGATGAGTAGTGTCGAAGGGGAATGAATACCCCACCTCATCTCAGTCTGTGTTGAACCCTGTGAAAGATAATAAGAAGCGACAAGCCCTTACAATGGAAATACCTTCTCACTTTCTCCTGTCCTCTGCCTTCTACTCATTCATAGGTGAGTCAGCAAGAAAAACCACAGAGAACCATAGGAGTAATTGTACTGTGGCCTCTACATAACTATGTGACTGTTTCCCTCAGATGTAAGTGTAATGGTCATGCCAGCGAATGTGCTGAGGGGGAACATGGACGCCTGATCTGTTCCTGCCAACATCACACGGTGGGAGCCGACTGCCAGAGATGTCACGCCCTTTACCAGGACAGACCCTGGGCCAGGGCCACTGGGGACTCCTCCAACGAGTGTTTGAGTGAGTAACCTGCTTCGGGGTTTCTGTCACATCGGGTGCAGCCTTCTGCTAAATCCACAGGGCAGTGTTAAATTCAAGTGACAAGCTCAGGTTGTTGAAGGTCCTAAGAAAATCCATCACTGTACAACCTTTCATCAGTCTCCACTTTGTCTTAAAATGTTGATTTCCTCATGTGCAGCGTCTGCATTTGCTACATAAGCAAGTAGATACAAGTACTCCATGACTTTGGAAAAAAAATATTCTGACAGTACGACAGACAAGTGTTCACAGACACTGAACTTCATTAAGCTTCACACAGCATTTGTCTGCTACCGCATCTTAATTATCACGTTTTTCAGCAAAAACAAACAGTCATGAAATTAATTATGTGGCTGCATAATGATTGTAAAATGCCTGTTTGTAAAGCCTACGAATACTGGGATTGGTAGTAACAGCTCCCTGGAAGATGCATGTTTATTTAAATCTGCTCATATGCACATATGTTTGCAGGCATTCTCCCCTCAGTGCTCCGTGTGTATGAATTAGCATGAGTATTATTAGGTCTGGCTCATCACACTGCACTTTTACTGAAGGCTGTCAAGGATGAATTGTAATTGGCTGAGGGATAAAAACCCTAAAGGAGAGTGCCTTGCAAATAGTTTACTATATTCTATTAAGCAGCAAGCTTGTTTTAATTACTCTTACTCTTGGTTCCAAGCAGATGGCATCTTAAATAGAGCACTGCACCCAACTTAATCAATGCAGTATATTAATAAATAAACACACAGCATATAAAAGAGACACAGAATGTGCGACCGTAAAATGAATGCTCAGTGTAATTCCATGTCTCTATCTGCAACAAAATTCATTTTGCCTCACTTTGCCCCACCAACCTTTTATATTTCCGCATAGGGCACCGAACACTCATCATCATAAGAACATTTTGACAAAGGACATTATTTTATTTGCTGGTGATAATGATCAGCAAATCTGCATCAAGGAAATTAAAGTGGTGACATGTAAACTGAATAAAAACCTTGTAAACAATACATGTGTATAACTTATAAACAACAAAAATTAAGTTTCTAATCTATGTTTTATTACACAATCTGTTTGTTTAGGACACATTAACAATCATGTCTCGTCAGTTTTTGGCTGGTCAGTCAACACAAAGGTTAGAAAGGTGTCTGTCTTTTCATGTCAAAATCAAATAGTGTCATGTTAACACAACTACCTTCTATCACTAATGTGCTCTATAACATGAGGGACTTGGATATGAATTTTAAACACAGTCTTTCTTGATATGTGGTTGATAACAAAACAGACAGATGATATGCTTCTGTATGTCCATTAAACAAATAACATCTCTGATAACCTAATAGTATATATCCTGGCCATTAAAAAACATCTGTGTCTCATTGTGATTATTGTAGTTTAAGATATTTATTAGGCAGACTGCAAAAACTGCTTCCGATTTTTTTTCAAAGGGCAAAAAAAGCTGAAAACTAGTGGCAATTGTGATAATTACAGCGATCTTGCCTTTGTGTGAGTAGTAGAAGCAGGTGGTAAATGGAAGCTTTTGAGGGCTGTTTACATGAGTGTGAGTGTTATGTGAATGCGTCTGAGTGTCTTTATCAGTAATTTCACTATCACTCGAGGTTGTTTATCTACAGTTGATATTGAACTGCTTCTTTTTTGCTCAATGTTTGCTTTGCTGTATTAAAATAGCTATGGAGAAAAATGCAAAGGCTTTGCACATGTTTGTTGGTGGTGTGTGTGAGCTTGTGTAAGT